TCTTTCTGCTAAGGGTTATTTTTGCTGTTTGGGGTCTTTTATTGTTCCATATGGGTTTGGGGGTTGCTTCTTCTATTTCATTGAAGATTGAGGTTGGAATATTCATAGGTATCACATTGAATTTGTAGATAGCCTTTGGCAGTATTGCCATTTTCACAATGTTGATCCTCCAATCCAAGGGCATAGGAGTTTTTTCCACCTCCTTAGTTCTGCTTTACTTTCCTTTTTCAGGTTTTTAAAGTTTTCATCATAGAGGCATTTCACTTTTTAGTTAAGTTAACTCCTAGGTATTTTATTTTTTGTCAGGCTATTACAGAAGGAGTTGCTTTTCTGATTTCAGCCGTGCTCTTCTCATTATCGGCATACAAAAGAGCCACTGATTTTGAGAGTTAATTTTATATCCTGCTACTTTGCCAAAGTTTCAAATCAACTTGAGTAATTTGGGTGTGGAATCCATGGGGGTTCTTTACATACAAGATCATGTCATCTGCAATCAGTGAGAATTTTACTTCATCTTTTCCTATTTGAATCCCCTTTATATTTGCATCTTGTCTTATGGCTATAGCTAGGCATTCTAATACTAAATTGAAGAGAAGTAGAGAGAGTGGACATCCTTGTCTTGTTCCTAAGTTTAGAGGAAAGGCTTTAGATTTTCACCATTAAGTATAATGCTTGCTGTAAGTTTGTCACATACAGCCTTTATTATATTGAGGAATGTCCCAGGGATTCCTAGTTTTTCCAGAGCTTTGTGATAAAGGGGTGTTGGATCTTGTCAAATGATTTTTCTGCATCTATTGAGATCATCATGTGGTTCTTATCCTTGCTCTTGTTGAAGATGAATTATCTTAATTGATTTGCATATATTGAACCAGCTATACATCCCTGAATAAATCCTGTTTGATCGTGGTGTATGCTTTTTTGATGAGTTGTTGAAGTCAATTAGCCAAAATTTTGGTGATAAGTTTTACATTGATGTTGGTCAAAGGAATGGGTCTACAGTTCTCTTTCTTTAATGAGTCCCTGCCTGGTTTTGGGATGAGGATTATGATGGCTTCATAGAATGAGTTTGGTAGTGAACTTTCTCTTTCAATTCCATTGAAGAGTTGGAAGTGTATTGGTGTGAGTTCTGCTTTGAAGGTCTTGTAGAACTCTGGTGTAAATCCATCCAGTCCTGGGCTTTTCTTGGGTGGGAGGTCTCTTATTGCTGTTTCTATTTTGATGCTTGATATGGGTCTGTTAAGTTGGTTGAGATCATCTTGGTTTATTTTGGGCATGTAGATATTTGCTGGAAACTTGTCTATTTCTTCCAGATTCTCAAACTTTATTAGCATAAAGGTTTGAGAAGTATTCCCTTATAATGTTCTGAATATTGGTTGTCTATGTGGTTATGTTTCCATTCTTATCTTTGAGTTTGTTTATTTGGGTGTGTTCTCTAGTTTTTCTGATAAGAATTTCAAAGGGTATGTCAATTTTGTTAATTTTTTTTTGATGAACCAATGCTTTTTTTTGTTGATTCTATGGTTTTTGTGTACAACTGTATATTATTATATATCATGCCTCCAAAGTATTTCTGATTCATGGCCCTTAGTAAGCCTTTCCTCCTACCCCTGTTTTCCCTGGCAATGAACTATGTTCTGTCAACATAGATTAGCTTATGTTTTCCAAAGATTTATATGAATGAGATCAAACTATATTGATTATCTTATGTCTGTGTATCTGACTTTCTGGCTTTCTCTCTTTCTCTCTCCCTCCCCTCCCCCATCTTACTTCTTTAATATAACACAGTTATTGTGCAAGCTGTCCATGTTTATGCTTTCCTTTCTATTGTTGAATTTATTTGTCCATAAATTGTTTATCTATTTACACATTTAGAACACTGGGATTTTCCCAGTGTTTTGTGTATTATATACAAAGCTACTATAAACATTTCTATGTAAATCTTTGTATAGGCCAATACACAAACATTTTTAAGTGATTATAGTGTTGTTTTACATGTAGGGAGCCAAGCATTTTCCTCTACGCATTGCCAGAAATGTCATATTACTTCATCCTCAGTGTCCACCAGGTCTTTGCTACACTGTGATAGTGAGAAAAAGCTGTCAGAAACTAGGATGTCCTCAGCTGGTGACTGGAGCCTCCTAGAATGAGAGTGATTGAATTCTTTCTCCCTATTTCTTTTGCAAGTTCTTTTTTTTTCCTTTTTTTCCCCTTCCCTTGCAAACTTTAATTTTTGCCTTCCATTTAGGACAAGAACTTAAGTGAGTAGCTACTTGGAGGTAAGGGCTCATAGTGTTTGAAAAAACACAAAAAAGATTTAAGTTCCACATGGAAGGGCAGAGGTTGGAAATTACCAGCTCTGGCATTTTTTTGCCTCTTTCTTTCTCTCACCTTATCCAAGTGTTAAGTCTTGCCCTCTGTTTTCTCTCTAGGAGCCCCTTAAATTTGTGGTGTTACTAAGTAGGTGTGTTGGGCTCCCAATATCACATTGGGGATTTCTTAGTAAAAAAAC